GAGAACACCACCTGTGCCCCCAGACCCTTAAGCCCCGCTCCCAAATCCCTGTAGCGCCTCATGACCTGGCTGGGAGTGCTCCGAGCAGTGTCATTGGTGCCCACATGAATAAGGAGCATGGGATAGTGGTCTGTGGGTTTAAGGAGCTTTGGGATCCTCTCCGTAATGACCCGGATGCGGGCCCCCGGGAAGCAGCAGACTTGCCGGGCTAAGGGGTCGGGGCGGCAGATTGGCCCCTCAGTCCCCCTCAGGAGGGAGTCTCCCACAACAAACACCTTCCGTTTTGTCTTGGGGAGAGCAGGGGCGGGAGCTGCAGTTGGGCCACAACTGCCTATGTCCACTGTGATGCCCCAAAAGTGCAATAGACTCTGGCCCCACATGAAAAACTGAAACGTGAAACTTCATATTTTCTTCTTTAAATAACCCCATACCCCTGACCTCTTACTCCATAGATTTCATAGACGTTAGGGATGGAAGGGATCTCATGAGATCATCGGGTCCAGCCCCTGGCCCAAAGGGCAGGAAGTCAGCTGGGGTCAGATCACCCCAGCAAGATAAGCATCCAGGCATTTCTTAAAGGTATCCAGAGTAGGTGCTTGCGCCACTGGATTCAAAACCTCTTCTTAACTTTTTTAAGTAAAAAAGTTATTTGTTATGTTAGTCTTGTATTTTTATTAAATACAGAGGGTTTGGAAGGACTTGATCCATAGCTGAGTCCACTTATTAGCTAACCTTTGCATTTGTATACATCAGTTTGCATCTCTGCTACATAGGCATCCTCATAAATTAATGCTGAATACTTAAGGAAAGCCTTTCTTGATTTACACAATGTAAAGTGCATTTTATGGACACGATTAAGGTTCCTGATAAGTCCCTACACTGACTACCTTTAAATTATTATGAGTTGCCAACAATTTTGGTACGCGACTAACTTTCAGAGACCATGGGTTTTTCCCTCTACTTAGAATACAGAATAAGTCTGTTCAGCTCTCACTATGCCATTTAGTGATTTTTTATATATATATATATATATATATATACACACACACACACACACACACACACACATATATATATATATTATATATATATATTATTTGTGATTATTGATATGTGACTCAAGGAATAATTGCATGCAACACCAAGCTGTTGTCCCACATCAGAAGAACAACGCCGTCTTTAGTGACACCTACCCTGAACGCTGACTTTTGACTTGGCAACATCGGTACCAATATCGCACGTGTATATACCAGCATCGTCTTTGGTCACATCACGGATAACAAGGCACAGGGTCTTCCCAGCTTGCATTGGCTCATACTTGTCACCACGGCTGATCTCGACATTGTCCTTCTTCCAGATGGGTTTGACCTTTAGTTTGGAGACCTCGCATTCCAGTTTGAGTACACCACGCTCCTCAACAACAGCGTCATCCAAGGATTTCATGAAGACGGCCAGCTTCTCTGAGGGTCGTTAAAGACAAATTCAGAGTGAGTACCCTTCCATGGGGTTGCATAAAACAAAACCTCATTGACATTATTAAGAGGCAAAGGTTGAAATGTTTTGGGCATGAGTTTGGAAAAGAAGGAGACTGCCTGTCTTTCAAGGCTGTGGGAAAGGAATGAGGAGGATGAGGGAAAGACTGAGAAAGGATGCAGAAGAGTAGATGAAACCACTAATCCACTGGACAACAAGATTTGCAATGAATAGACAAATGTGGAGATGCCTGGTTTAGCATCAGCCCAAAAAATGAAGATGTGAGGATGAACTTTTTGCAGGTTGCAGCTGTTGAAAGAGGGTTTGCTTGAGCCATCATCATGCTCACTGAAGCCAGGAGGATGCAAATATCCAGCCTAAGGCACTCCCATACTTTGTCATGGGAATTTATTTCA